GCGGCGGGGCCGGGGACGGAGGGGAGGAAAGGGCAGGAGAGGAGGGAAAAGCCAGCGAGGAAGCAGTGTTAGACGGAAAGGGGGAAGGCTGCCGCTCTTACATGGGAAAATCGGGGCTAATCGCTTGATGGTGGGTCTGTGTGTGAGCAGAGTGTGTGCATGTCTGCATGCGAGCTGCTGATCCAGCATTTTGATCGCAACAGTTTGGGAGCTTGTCTACAGCGAGAGTAAATGTGACCAGAGTACCAAGCAGCTCATCCCGACGGGGTTAGGTCAAGCGGAGACAGAGGAGTTCCAGCCCTTTCCCAGGGTGTCTTTTAAGTGGGAAAGTTTTGGGGTGGGGTTGCCTTGGGGGGGTGAGGAGGGCTGGTGCACACAGAGCCTCTGGGAGAAAGAGAGATTTCCTCTTCTGCTTTTTCCTCTTTGCCCTGCAGTTTGAATAAATTCCATCAGACAGAAGACAATTTTATACCAGCTTTAAATTATGTCAGCACCAGACATGCAAAATCTCTTTGGTAATGTTTCTTTTACAGTCCTGGAACATGGCATGGGATTTAAGTACCAATCATTAATATTATTAATGCTAAATGGAACTGAGGTTTATTGCACTCAGTCTGTGTTTACGCCCTTTAATAGTAACAACAGACATGTTCAGGACTAAATTACAAAGCCACTTTATTTTATTTATTTATTTATTAATAAGACTTTCATTTTTTTCCCCCTATAATGCATAGTGTTAAAATCAGAACACTACTGAAAACGTTTATTTTCCTCAAGGCATAAAATATGGATTGGAAACTCTAGCAAGATTGAGTTTTCCATCCTAGCATTTCAAGTGTATTCTTTAAGGAAAAGTGCTTCATATAAGAGAAGTAGGTTAAATACAGGCTGAGGGCTAGAACGTATACAAGAATGTGCTTTATGAGGAAGACAATGAAGGCATACCCCCAAAACAGTCATTGCTCCCTGACTACCTCTAGGGTAAATCCACCTGGTACACATCTATACTAGCAAATAACATAGATCAGTCCGATCCAATCAGTGCTGAGGACCAGAACAACGTTCACACATTTTTGGTTGTTTTTCTTTCAGATTCACTCCAGCCCAGTTCTGTGGCCTGAGGGCCTTGAGCACTCAGCATGCATCAGATGTACTTCTGGTGCCTGTCTTCTGCTTTGTTGTCACCTGCATCCACTTTGTGTACACACCGCTGCTGGGCAAACCAAAATGTGGTGAGGATGATCTGGAGATCCACTCCAAAAGAGTGCCCTTGATCCACACCAAAAGATGAATGTGGATGAGCCCACAGGGTGGCTGAGAGAAAGGGAGCTGGTGTGACTTTCCCAAGGCTGAGAGCTGGAGCCTGCTCTGAAACATTCTGTTCTAGCACCCTCTCCTCAAATCAGCTTTCTGCTGGTACCAACTCCCAAGAGTTCACCTGCTCTCAGGTCTCCATTTCTGCAGGGAGCTATGCACTTCTTGATGAGTGCAGAGTGCAGACTGTCTTCATTTACCGCTCTCATGCCTTCACTTGTCTTAGTCAGGTCTTTTACCTCCTGCTCTTCATTTTTCCAACCCCTGAAATGACAGGGATACTAAGCTAATTTTGTAACATTTGAACTGCACTCAAGAAGAACTGAGTATTGTTCTTAAATCTGTAATTGTCTGAAGATCTGGTCTTACATTCTTTCCTTAGACAAAAGCCTCAGTTATAATGATACTGATAAATGTGTCTAAATTGGGCATGTGTTGAAGATTAGACATGGGCAGAAATTGCTTGGCATTCAAATGACTGTGGAAAGACTTCTGTTTCACACATGTAAACAGCTTCTCGGCTAAAACTGGCTTTGAAAAGCTAGCAAGAAGCAAACAAGGATGCATTTATTTGTGCAATATATTTCTTCCATGGTATATGCCAAGGTTCCCAAGTCAGTGTTTGCTTTGCTAATGGTATCTCTACAGCAGTTCATTTATTTCCCTTATATGGCCTTTACATTCACTCCCTGAACTGCTGCCATTCTGCATTCCCTCATGGAAACTGTACACTGAATTCTGCATCTCTCCTGAAGCAT